TGATTGAATTTTTTGAAAATTTGTGATTTTTTTGTTTAATCCATGATTGAATTTTTTTTGTAATCCATGATAGAATTTTTTGAAAATTTGTGATTTTTTTTTAATCCATGATAGATTTTTTTGAAAATTTGTTTTTTTTTTTTTAATCCATATTATTCAAAGAGAAAACGAGAGAGATGATGATTCCGAGGCCACCCTATCCCAACCATATTATTCACATATCGAGTCCCAACAGCAACAGTGTAGGGATGAGCACGAAATACTGTAAATTAAATGCTGAACGGCGGTTCATGCAGGGAAAGAACATATCAATATTTTCATATTCATTCAAAAACATGAAAATTCTTAATGGAGTACCCTCATTTTTTATTGAATTCCTAAAAACCAATATTTATAATGAATTTTAATAATTTTTTCGGATTTTTTTGAAGCTTTATTCTAACCGATTCACCCGATTCCGATCCGGATCGCAGATTCGCCGATCCGGATCGCCGATTCGCCGATCCGGATCGATTTTTGAAAAGCCCGATCCGGGTCACCGATCCGGTTTTTAAACCATTGATTTAAAGCATTGAATGAAGTGGAAATTGCGCCGGTAGTCATCAGAAAGCAAAGCAGGGGGAGAGTGGGAGATCGACAAAAAAGAGCTTGTCATCCCCCCACTGATTTACCAAAAAAAAACAAAAAAAAAAAACCAAAGAAAGAGAAGGGAATCGACAAAAAGGCGGTGGAGGACAAAATATCAGACAAAGAAAGAGAGGTAAAAAAAAGGAGTATAATTCGGAGAGTTTCGAAACCCCATCCAATTAATCGATGGGATGGGATGGGATATATGGTTCACATCATGCCAACGTTTCACCTCGGATTTTCATATCTCAACATTAACTCCGCCGATTTCAACAACCATTGGGATAATGACACGTTGCGGATGGAGAATGTACCGTTACTTGTTTCTGACGGCGTCACGTGGCGAAAGGGTCAAAAACCGGGGCCGAGATAGACCACAGATTCTAACGTCGTTAGGGAGGAGTTCGGAAGGCGTCAAGAATGGGTGTCAAAAAATAGTGAATTTAGAGTGTTTTGACGGGTTGGGTTATTGGGGGAATAACAGGGAAGAATGACAAAAATACCATCTTGACGTGCTCATATATCGAAAGCACTCTTAATAAATACCAAAACTGTCCCCTACTTGGACAAAGACAAAATCCCTTAATTAGATTTGGGGTGCGGTTTTTGTATTACGAGTAGAGCTGTGAGGCTTTAAACAATTAAACTAGAGGCCAGTGTCGAGAAATAAGATAAAATTTCTACAAAGCTAGAATAGACGGTCTAAATAATCAATATACAATATACACTCCTTGTAGAAGTCGTAAAACCTAAATTTTGTTTTACAACCATAACGTTTGATCAATGTTTTCAGTACTTGATTCACAATTTTGAACAGGTTATAAGATGAGACTTTACCAGGGCGACATCCCTATCAAACAATTTTCCTTTTAACATATTTAGATCCATGTATTGAAACATAGGGTTGGTAATGGGCCAGGCAGCCCAACCAGATTAGCCTAACCCTAAGAAACTAGAGCCTAGCAGTAAAATTTCTCCCATTAAGAAAAGCTGGGCCACAACCTGTCTAGTTTGCCTCAGTCTTTTTTTTAACTTTTCTCTATATTTTCTGTAAGTGCATTAGGCCTTACCGGCATCACTGTGGCTCTTTTGGCACGGTCAGGGCCAGCTGGGTTAAGGCCAACCCTATGGAGATTAAAACTGGGCTAGGACCAAGGTTGGCTCAACATGTTGCCAGCCCTCTAAACTGAAAAAGACACGAGGCCATTCCCGCATTTGTTAGGTCCAAAAAGATGAAAAAAAAAAAAGTAAATTACACTTTCAAAAAAGCACTTAATAAGAATTTTTTCAAGGGCAGGGTAAGAAAAGACGCGTGCTCGGCACGCGCGCCTATATAACATCCCTATCCCCTCATGCACGCAAACATCATATGAACCCTGACCCAAGAAGAAATATGGCCCAAGAACCAAAATTTCCCGGTGTCTTCGACCTTAATTCCAGCGAAATCCGGCAAATTCCCGGCGACGAACAGAGGAATCCCGATGATGGAAGGAGACAATCGAGTAGGTTGCAGAAGCGAGCTCCTTCCGGTATTCAGGTGAAGAATCATGCTTTGGAGGACTGGAAGGTGCCGATCCCCCTTTTATCACCATTGGTTTTGACCTCACCAAAGATTTTGGGGACTGAGAAGGCCCGAAGCGAGGAGTTCCGGCGAGAATCTGATGAGGTCAAGGTAGTTTTCCGGTCATGGCAGCACCCTGCATCGGAGTCTTCCTCCTCTCTCTTCTCCTCATTCATGCCCCAATGTATAGCTCTTGATAACTTGTAACAAACATCCTCTCTCTCTCCATTAACTGTATCATATAATGGAAATCGGGTGTATATTTTCTCCATTTGTTACTTGAAAATTCAGGGGATTAATGAAGAAAAGCGAAAAGCTAGATCGATGCGCGTTTTGTTCAACTCTCTCTCTCTCATTTTCTGGTTTCCCTTTCTGTCTCACTTCTGTAAATGCACAAACAAAATTTAGATACCCAATGGATGGCCTGGATCCTGCCCTTCCATTTAAATTGGCCATTGAACTTCTTTCAGTTCAATAAATCGTAAAGATCATCTTTTTCAATCAAAAGAAAAAAACCTTTCCATTACAGATTGGGAGGAAGCACCCCTTTCATAAATATAACAGTACAATAATAACCATCATGACCATTATTTTGAACAGTCCTTCAGAAAATTCAGGCGTCAAGCCTGTAATTGTGTATACTATACCCAGAAGCCAAAAAAAAAAAAAATACTAGAAAAAGAAAAGTGTCTGAATTACAGGTATCACTCATGGAGAAAAAGAATAAATGAGAAACCCCTCCTCGCATATGGATTGAATAACACTTCAGAATTCAAATTCTCCGGTTGCCTGTCAAAATTTCAACCCAAAATCATAACAAACTAAAAGAAATTCAAATACTTGGTAAGAAAATGAAGAGCCATTTCATGTCTTGGGGCCCGAGAGGTGTATTTGAAGTATTTTTATTGCACTCTAACCAATTCTGTATTTGATGTATAGAACGAGAGAAATCTGGAAAATTGTTTCATGCGGGCATGTCAGCATTTCTACAATATGCGATCCCAAGGTATAAAGTATCCATCTGAATAGTTTCAAAATATGCGATCCGTATAAAGCATTCATCTTAACAGTTCAAGGAAAACAAAAGCATCCTATCTTAACAGTTTCAAGAAAAACAAAAGCATCCATCTAAAATGCGATGCGAATAGAGGACCTATCTAAAAACAATTGACATTAATGGTCCAAATGTTTTCTTCATAAAATCATTATTTTTATTTTTTAAAATTTATTTATATTTTTATATTGATGATCTCCATGTTAGAGATGACATGTTCTTAAAAGTTGGGTCCAAAAATCCATCCCAAAAATAGATTTTCAAGAGTACCGTATCCTTTAATTTTAGTACAAAGAAGTCCCACCTACTCTGTATTTGCTTGATTTCAAATCTGACAGTCACGACTGTACTATTAATTAAGTTCAACATTAAAAAAAAAAAAAACTTGACTATCCAATTTAAAATCCGTTGGCTACGTATATCTGTGACCCCCAATCTAATAAAGGTAAACAATATTGTAATAAACAATATAGCAAGAGCTCGTGACTTGTTGAAAGTAGAAGTGTACTTTGCTCATTCTGGAATATTAAAGGGTGTGGTTTGTACAAGGCTGAGGCCTTAATCAATCAAAATAAGGCGCACCTTTAAATAGTGGCAAAACATGTTTCACTATCAATTTTTTTTGGTGATGGCTGAAAATTTATTTTCATCTGTCATTGTAATATTTAACAATCTAAAACTGTGGATCACTTATATCTATGAGAACTTAAAAATCATAAAAATTGATAAATCTAGATAATATCTTATAAGATGCACTATTTTCAAGACTTAGAAATCTATTTTTTCTAATGTCTATACATCTTAAGATTGAGATGATTGAATCGAGGGTTTTTGAACATCATAACAACCTCTTCTAGTGAATATTTAGGGTGCGCTCTAATTTGATTGTTTGGGACCTCACCCTTATATAAACTTTTTCCATATTAAATGTCATTTATGTCAAGAGATTCTTCTTGTTTGCTTTTGTTATGTTGGATTTTATCTGGGTAAACAATAAAGTTAGCAGGCAAATAACATAAACAACTGAGTTTTTCTTAACTTGACAGCACAAGCCCTATATTAATTTTCTAGAACTTTTCTTTGGTTCCTTTTCTAAATAATTAATTACTCACTAAATTAAGAAACCAATACATCTAATGAGTTTATTCTAGCTTGATCTTATCGTTTAATAGAATATGTGTATGGATTCTTTTGTATCGTATCTCTTTTTGCAAATGTCCAAAAGTGAGAGTCAACCTGGTTCTCTCACTCTCTCCATTCAAAGTCAGAAAAGAGATTGGGTTCGGTTCTCTCTTTACCTTATTAAAAAGGAAATCCCTATTATTCAAGCGCATTATGCCATCCTTGAGAATACATTTCCACCTGCTCTTGGTTCTACTCACCTGCAACACAACAAACAAAGCAAACAAAGACAGAGGCCATGTAAGAATCAGACCAACCCGGAGAGCCCGAATCAATTGCTGCCCCTTCAAAGCTTCTTTATGACAGGAGTCTAAAATACTTATCCGTGGATTAAAAATACCCTTATGAAAAATGCCAAAAAACCATAAAAAGCGGATTGGTTAATGGAATGACTCACAAAACTATTACACTCCTCAAAAGGGTTACATGAGAAAATGATTATTACATGAATAGAAAAAGTGCAATAACGGAAAAAACAAGGGTCTGTGCTACAAAATATACTCCATTGGGTCTGGCCAGGGCCTCTTCAACCTGAACTAGGCTGCTTGGCTTGGGTTGGCCCTAAAGGGACCCAAACCAAGCTCAAGCCTAACTTGTTGCTGGGCCTATAAACTAACTCTATCTAAGGGGCTACTACAGGCAATAAAGGCTCTATTCTATTGGTTCAGGCTTTTTGCATGTTGAAGACAAATTACATACGAATTGTTCAAGCCCTCTAAGCATTAGACTTAGCGGGTCGATTTGGTATGGTCCTATCAGACCTAAGCCTGAAACTTAAAAAAGCCACTATTTCCCCAAGCTGGCTTGGCTCTGGGAAAGGCAGTTCTCAACATACTCATAGCCTAGTTGGGATGCCATCTACAATGGGACACCAGGAATTCTCCCATTCTTGGTCAAATGGTTAACCGGATGTGGAATCTACTCCATGAGGAGCGGTACAGGTATAGATGATCATGTCTTCTCCCTCATCCCTTGGGGGGTTGGAGAATTCCATGCCAAGGGAATCCCTCTACCATTTCACACTACATTTGCTTTGTGTGTGACGTGTGTACGGAGAGAGAGAGAGGGAGGAAGAGAGACTTCCATTAGCCCAAGGTTAAAAAAGCGGATAGGTAACTCAAATCATCCTGAAAACTGGTCTGGTTTGGTGAATTGGCCGGATTGGCGATCCAGCCAACTGTACTAGCCAATAAAAACTGTTAAAAAATGATTTTTATGTTTAAAAAAGTGGGGCTGGTTCTATTTGAGGACCGGCCATTTCATAGAAGGAACGGGCCGGTTTTCGATATTTTGCAGGAATCGAAACGATCTGACCGGTTGCCGATTCGGATTCCCCGGCGGTTCTGATTCATCGGCGGTTTTGATTCATATCACTATTTTTCTAAACCTTGCATTAGCCTATGCCCTAAGTTTGCCACCCGCAAGGATACCATTTTTCCAATTTTGTTTGGTCATAAATTTTGGAGATAGTACTAAAAGACTAGACAAATAAATTCAAAGATAGAAACTTGGGCACATCTACCAGTCTTTACCTCTAATGGAAAAAGTTTATACAACCGAGGCTCTAAACAATCAAATTAGAGCCTACCTCAAAAAATCCACTAGAAGAGGTGGTTTTGATGCTCAAATTGATCATCTCGACATTAAGATGATCTTGAAAATTGTGAATTTTATATCGCGTTTTTGGACCATCAAGTTTCAAAATTTTCAAGTTTTTATAGATCTGCTTGATCTACACTATTTTTGAAGCTTTAAATTTTATAATTAAAGATGAATACATATTTTAGGGCTATCCGAATATTTCTAGCATTGAAACTACATTTCTCAACACTATTTGAAGGTGTGCTTTACTTTGATTGTTTAGAGCCTCTGATCTATACAAACTGGACCCACATCTAATAATGCTGCAGATAGACAGCTAATAATGCCCCCATTCCTCTCCAAGAAACCATTTTTAATATTTTTTTTCATTGACGAAGTTTGCTAATATCAAGAGATGTGTGCGCAAAAACGACCCTATAAAAATACATCTTAACATAAAAAATTAAGGGTGACGAACTTACACTGCACTAGCCTATACGTTATTGTAATTTTTTCCACACAAATCCGCGTGTTCAGGTATTGACCTCCACGAACGTTCATGGATACATAGAGAGGGCTAGCTCCCACTATTGAAAAGAGAACTGAGGATACTCATAGACAATAGGCCATTGGGTCAATTCAATTGTCTCAAATTGATGCTACTTTGAAATCCCGTCCATATCTAATGACTATCTTATAGCTACGTTATTTTGTCTTGAAAATAATGATATTAGATTATCACTTCTTTATAAAAAGGTCAATTCCATGTCTCACCTTTTCAAACTGGGCTAAAACCAAATCGTCTGTGCTGGGTTCCTCATCCCCGTTGTCTCCATCATCCAAATCGTCATCGTCATCCTCATTAAGGGGTGGCTCATCATCTTCATGTGTTTCTGGTTTCATGGGTTTAGGAGTCCCCACAACGTGGCTGCTTTGAGGATCTGCAACATGAGAAATAGGCTCACCATTTCATACGGACACTACATAATGTTTTTTTTTCTGGATAGTTCAGCAGTAGAATTTGAACTTAGCATGTGCCAATCATCCTTATGCTGAACCACATATTCTTATTTCTAATTCTCTTATAATTTATCTTGATTTTAGAATGTCACAATTCGATGCTCTTCCACTATAATGATACCACATTTCGTTTTTTCTTCATTTGTTTTCCCCTTTGCATTTCTCTAAGAGAAATCCAACCTCATCTTCGTTAGTGATGTTAGTCTCGAGTAATGTTTAAAAGATCACTTAACATTGGCTCGAAGCGAGTTTCTCAGGCGGACTTGACCAAGTACTGACCAATACAAAAAAAATTGAAAAAAGCAAAAAGGAAAGGGGGGGCTTGGTTGGGCCACATGCCAGAGAGAGAGAGAGAGAGTGCATGCCTTTCTCTCTCATAGATCTCACTCTCTCTATGTCAGGCATCTCTCTCTTGGAGGAGAGAAATGAAACAGGTGGATCTCCATCCCCTTTTAGAGAGAGAGAGTTGATAATGGGGGAAGACTTCTGCCCCCCATTTAGAGAGAGAGAGAGGTTCTGCTAGACCAGCTCAGAGTCCTTTCTTTTAAAACTGGCCTGGTCTAGACTGGCTCCTCCAGCTGTATAGAATGGAGTTGAGCATGGAGAATTAGAGGCATCACATGCTCGTCACAAGCTTCAGACCCACACTTCCCTTTGAGCTCATCATAAGGCATCACTTTATGGACTGAATAGAGCCACAAAATAGGAGGGAGAGAGATCAATGCATGGAGGGAAGGAGTTCCCCAAAATCTGGTGTGAGAGAGAGAGCGAGAGAGAGAGAGAGGGTTTGCAACGCTTTTGCCCTGTATTGAGAGAGAAGGGTGGTGGCGTTTTTAGAGAAAGAAAGATGCTGCCTGATTTAAGAGAGAGGAGATGGGGAGATTTACAGAGAGAGAGAGAAAGGGCATACTTGAGGCCGAGTAGCACGGCCAATTCCGAGCAGACTCGGCCAGTCAAAAACCACTGGTCTGATGTTGCAAGCTCATTCTTATTAATGGGGAAAGAAAAGTAGTAATATGTCCATGGGAAGGTAATTTTTGTAAGGGCAACAATAAATATGACTAAAATAAGCTTACCATAGTATGGAGTATTGTAATCTTCTTCTCCAAAACCCTAAGGAAAGGATAAAAATTTAATCAGAACCAAAACTTCCACTTTTTACTAGTGAAAAACTAAGGAAATTCAGAAATATGCATTACATCATCGTAGCCATCATGAGAACCATCACGTTGTGGGATTGTTGGTTCCATCTGCTTCATTCTGATTAAAGAGGCAATCATGGAATCAGCTTTCTTGCACTCTTGCATCCTCAACTGCATAGGCCTAGCTTGGCTTACCCCTTTCAAAGGGTCATTTGCTGGAGCAATCTGAAATGCATCAAGTGAGAAGAGAATATCCTTTTTTTCTTTTTCTTTTTTTTTAACTCTACTTTCTCAGATTCATAAATCATATAATCAAGAGGAATTATATATAAAACCAACAAATCCATTGACATTCCTTTCTTTCATGACGACATAAACAAAACTCTAGACAGATAAGGGCATACATCCCGTTTCATGTAGAAGAAAAGAACATGAAAAAAGAAAATACAATTCAATGCGGACAGAAAAGATAACTACGTCTTAAGGGAACAGTATGTAAAACAAATTTAAAGATACTATGTTCCCATTGTTTCCCGATTGCTTATGATGTCTCGTTGAGCGTTCTCTCAGCATCTTCAAGCGCTTTCCTAGATGTTTTTTAGTTTCTTAGACCTTTAAAAGGAACTCAAGTTTTAAGATAGAAAAACCAACTCATACTTCATCCCCCCATTTGATACGAGTCTTCTCCAAAATTTCCATGCATTTCGTCTACAGTAAAAATTTCCTGTATCTCACTTTGTTTAACTAGTTTTCTATACTAATCCCACTACTAAATGGAACGAGGTAGCACTCCTCATTAGTATTCCCAATGAGATCGGTATTAAGGTTCTAAGAAACAGTACTTGTTATGCAATTCAGATTTGTAAATTGATAGATACATCACCTACTCCCACAAATTCTCTTCGTCGCTGCCACGAGCTATGTCTATAAAATAATAGACATGTATCTCTCCCTTTATAATAACTAAAGGGATTGTATATAATGAAACTATTTATCTTTACGACAAGGAAGGCTATTTATCTTTATTACAAAGAGGTCACAATCACTAATACTCATTAGATGACAAATTGGATGGCTTGTGCTAGTCACAAAGTCCGTGAATTTTTTTTTTGAACTTTTGAGTCTTTTTAATGGTGCTCTTACAATAACACAATTTAAAATATAAAGGACAAGAATGATTGTGACCTCCTTGTACAAAAAGTAAATGGTCTCTTTGAATACTTTCCCATAACTAAAAGCCACATTTAAGCTCATTTAGATTTCTTCTAGGTTACATCCAGAATTATTTTGATGGCCATCTTTAGGACTCTCGCATGCTCCTCCTCCGTCCTGACAACTTCACGGATGCGGTTGTATGTTTTGCTAACAGCATTTCTCATAATCTAACAAATACAAGATATGAATCCCTGACATCAGCATAGTCGCCATGGATAGCAACAGGCCAAACTGGTTTCCCCCCACCAATCTGCTCCCCAAGTTCTTATGAACCCCATTTCTACACCTAAGCTCATCTCGGTGTCCCAGGAATCCTCGTCTCAGCTCGCTGAAAGTTATAGATCCTCCCTGATTGGGGTCTTCTCACCCCAATGAGATGATGTCCGTGGAATAGAGAAATCGACCAAATCTATCTGGGCAGATACTTCCCTGATTTGCAAGAATTAGGGATGGTCCTACGCTATTCTCCTCCTCCTATGCTGAAGGAGGCGTTGAACTCTGCTACTCTCATCTTTTCGTGGAGCCACTTTAGCTCTGTCTAGGTGGACAAAAGAGTGGGGTGCTTTTCGTGTCCAGAAGGTCTGGTTAACGGCCTCAGCTATCCTGCTTCATTCTTGGAGCCTCTCGACCTTCAAAGCCACCGCTAATGCCTGTGGTGTCTTTGCAGTAGTGCACTGGAGCCCTCTTGAAGTCCTTTCGCTTGGTTCAATCCACCTCATCATTGACGTTCTTGACCCCCAGGCCATCCCTCCTTTCATCTGGCTGGAGGTGGGGGGCAGATACTACCAGGTGTTCCACGTCTGGTCCTGTGCTTCTACACCTTCCACTCGCTTCGTCCCGATGTCAGGTCCACAAGTTTCTTGGGATTAAAAAATTCGGGACAGGGAGCTCCCACTTTCGGAATCAAACTGGACGGTGGTAACATCCAAGAGGAAACTCAAGCATAGACAAACACGTGCCCCACCTCATCACCGTCGAGCGTATGGGGAGCGCAGGGACTTTCCTAGACCAGTAGGACCTGGCCGTGCAAAAAACTTACCGTTGTCCTAGGACTACCGTCCATCTCATGTTAGATGATCCTATAGATGGCCCTCGAGCTTCGCACCCACCTCCCCTGCCGCCTAATTCGTCAACTCAGCGGCCTCAGCCTACCTTTCCATATGACATCTCTGCCGCCACCTACCCTTCGCCCCTGCCACTTGGCGACTCACCAGACCTTGGCTCTTCTCTCCATCTTTCTACCCTCGTGTTAACCCCCCCCCCTTCCGCCCCCCCTACTTTAGCCCAACCCCTTGACCCTGGCCATTCTTTTTCTTCTCTTGTTGTACCGTCTCCCGTCGCCTTGCAGCCATCCTATCGCCCCCAGTAGCCGCAGCCCACTACCTCCCTCGAGCCCAACCCTTTGTCAGTCTCCAATCATGCCGACCTTCTCCCTGGTGATGGTCCTCTACCTTCACTCATCCCGAGCGTGTCTTCTATTCTGGGTCCTTACCCTCTGAAACCTGCCTCTTCCTCTCCCCTCGTGTTCTAGGTCCTTACCCCTTTGAAACCTGCCTCTTCCTCTCCCCTCGTGGGTCATTCGTAGGTTATCTCTCTACCCTCCTTTCCCCCTTCGCTCCCGTTTATTCCCTTTGGCACCATATCTTGTCCGAGCGATTTGCTGTCCAGTTGCAGACAACTCTTCTCTCCTCTGCAGCCATCGAACCCACCCTTACCTCCTCTACTTGACCTGCTTTCTGCCCCCTTACCCTCTCCTCTCTTGCTTTCCCTCACCCCGAACCCACACCCCTGCCTCCCATCCTCCCCCCTTTTGACTTAGCCCCCTTTTCTCTACCTCCGGTGCCCTCTACCCCTGAGGTGTCATCCCCAGTGGCTGAGCCCAACACCACACCTCTCTCCCTTGGCTTCCCTCTCTCCTAACCCCATGGATCAAGCTCCCCGTGGTACCCCCACCCCTCGTGGCATCCTAAGGATTCCCCTTCTCAGAGGGGACCCTGTGATTGTTTCCGTCCCCCCTGGTACCCCTGCCATTGCTCTCTCTTTTAATAAGGTGTCATACCTTTGCGTCTCCTTTGCAACGCTAGAACAACCTCATTTTGTGCCCCCTAGGTGCACTGCGCTGGACCAGATTTAGCCTCCACCAGGCCTGAATCCTACCCCTATTTCTTGCCTTCTCCCTCTAGCCTCTGCTCTCTTCTCCAATCTCAACCTTTCTCCATTCCCAACTTCTTCCAACCCTCTAAACCTACCACTCCTGCACCAACTGTTGTTGAAGCTAACGCTTTTCAATCCTGTCAATCTACCTCTCTGGTACCAGCTGTGGTTGAACCTGAAGAGGCCTTTTTACCCCACCCTCATAACCCTACCCCCTTGCTCAAGTTTCCGCGGAACCCAAAGATCCATTGGGATTTTATGATGACTCTGAAGACACGGTTCCTAACCCTTCGGCTGACGATCACTTCGACAAACGGTGGCCATATTTCGTCCTACACCAGAGGACCGTCTACCACCGTTTGGTTTGCTCAAGGCCCCTCCTCTTCTTTCGAGAGGACGAGAAGTCTCTCGCTCAGTAGTAAAGGAAGTTCTGGACAAGGTTCCTCCGCCTCCTCCCGCACTCCTCTCTTGGTGACATCTTTATTTGTCGACCGTATGAACGAAGCTCAAGGCAAGATACAATCGGTCATGCAGGTGATGGGCTGTCCCCACAACCGGAGGGCCCTTTTCAAGAATTCTTCAAGGCAGACTTACAATCCAAATCCAAGGTGAGAAAAAAAGGCAGCAAGGAACTAGCAAACCTAGTCTCCGGTATATCTTACGACCGCTCCATTCCTCTACCTCTCTCATTCTCTAATCTTCCTTTGTCACTCTCCCTGAGTGGCTCAATAGCAAGGCGTTCCCCTAGGACCCTCCCACGCAACCTCAGTTCCTAATGTTAAGCCTCTCTTGGAACATCAGAGACCTAGGATTGCCCTTCGAAAAGCAAGTTGTTAGGGATCTCTGTCTAAAGCATCACCCTACTATCCTGTTGATTATTGAAACCAAACTTCCTGCCTCCACCCTACAACAGGTCAGACAGGTCTTGGGTAGAAGACCGTGTCAGTGGGAGGCCCTCTGGCCGAAGGGGCTTAAGGGGGCATTTGGATCATCTGAGACCGTTTGGAGAATGCCCTTTAAAGTTCGGTCATAGCCTCTTACTCCGTGACTCTTACCTTGAAGAGGATCTCAGATGCTCTGCTTTGGAAATTCTCCGGAGTGTATGGCCCTAACCAAAGATTCTCTAAGGCCTAAACTTCGAGACAAGCTCAACTTTGCTGCAAACCTACCAACCCCTTTGTGGTGCATAGGAGGGGATTTTAACGTCACCAGGTGGTCTTTTGAGCGTAACTCCTTTAGAATCACACCTGTTGTGAACCTCTTCTCTGACTTCATTTGTGACAACCACTTCTTTGACCTCCCTATTCAAGGAGCCCAGTTCACGTGGTCGAACCACTCCTCTTCTCCTTCTCCTTCTAAACTAGATAGATTTCTCATCTATGCTGAATGGGACGCTACCTTTGCGGGGTCCCATGTCTTAGCCTTACCTAAACCCACTTCCGACCATTGTCCTCTCCTCCTTAACACCGAAGCCTCGCCTAAAGGACCTAAGCCTTTCAGATTCGAGCTCCCATGGCTACCAGAAAAAACGCTGACCACTGTCGTCCCGGCCTGATGGACTTCTCTCTCACAAGCAGTATTCGAGTGGGCAGGATTTAGATTACAGCGCAAACTGCAGCTTCTCAAAACTCATTTGAGAACTTGGAGCGCTTCTTTACTTGGTTCTTTCACGGCACAAAAACACCAAACGCTGGAGGAAATCAGACTTCTATATGTGGAGGAGGAATCTCGATTGCTACTCCCATCCGAAGCCCAACGTAGAACTAACCTAAAGATTCAATACCAAGACATCCTCACGAAAGAAGAGATCTGTTGGGCCCAAAGACCCCGGGTCAAATGGCTCAAGGCTGGTGATCTCAACACGGGTTTCTTCCACAAGACGGCAAACTGTAGGAGAAGAGAGAACACTATCACACACCTTTGGGTAGGTGATAGATACCTCGATCAACCTGCTCAGATTGAGGAACCAGTGGTTCACTTCTTCTCTAACCTCTTCGCAGCCCCATCTCGCCGTAAACCGGCAATGGGTGATCGCCAATTCAGCACACTTACTCCTGAAAAAGCGTCCTGGCTGGAGAGACCGTTCTCTGAAGATGAAATCTATGCTGCCATTTCGAGCTTGGCAGTGGACAAAGCGCCCGGACTGGACAGATTTCCCATAGAGAGTTTTGGGAATCCTTCTGGCCAGATCTTTTAGCCTTGTTCTCTGAATTCCATCACCGTGCTATGAATGCCATCTTCATTGCACTGGTCCCAAAGTTAGAAGGCGCTGAATGTCTCAAGGACTTCCGCCCTATTAGCTTGGTAAATTCGACTTATAAGATAATCACTTAGGTCTTAGCCTCCCGATTGAAAGAAGTGTTGCCGCTGGTTATTTCCTCAACCCAATCGGCCTTCATCAAAGATCATCAGATTCTGGATGGGGGCTCTTGTAGCCCATGAGTGCGCTCACTTGTGTCATATCGCCAAAGGCCAGGTCTCATTGTCAAATTGGACTGGGAAAAGGCTTATGATCATGTCAATTGGGCGATTCTCGAAGAAACCCAATTGAGGATGGGGTTTGGATGAAGGCATGTTACACCCAACCCTACTTCTCAATCCTCAGTAACGGGTCCCCAAAAGGGCTCTTCCCTTCCACCAAGGGATTACACCAGGGAGAACCTCTCTCCCCATTTCTTTTTGCCATAACAATAGAAGTTTTCAGCAGATCCATATCAAGGATGTACGATGCGGGTCTATTGAACGGCTTCTCGTGCGGTAACAACGGCCACATTGTCTCCCACCTTCTATACGCAGACAACACTCTAGTCTTTTGCAATGCCTTACAAGAGTAAGTAGACTATCTTTTCTTTTTCTTAAGATGCTTCGCATATGCTACATGTTTTAGGGTGAACTTTAAGAAAACCAAGATCATTGGGGTGGCAGTTGACCTTGAAGAGGTCAAAGGCTTTTCAGATAGTTGGGGCTGCGAGGCCAACGAACTCCCCTCTACCTACCTAGGACTACCCTTGTGTGTAGGTAAACCAAAGAAGCAGCTTTGGTCAAACATCCTGGACAAAGTTGACAACAAATTCACAGGATGGAAAGGGAGGTTCTTCTCACCAACTGGCAGACTTACTCTCATCAAAGCCACATTAGCAAACATCCCCATCTACCGGATGTCCCTTTTCAGCATGCCTATAGCAGTGGCACAAAGAATCGAGAAGCTCATTCGTAGATTGTTTTGGGCTGGGGACGCTTCTACTCACAAATTCCATCTCCTGGCCTGGGATCAACTTTGCTTACCTAAGAGGCTGGGTGGTCCGGGGATCAGAAACCCAAGACAACAAAATAATGCTCTTCTTGTTAAGTGGTGGTGGAGACCCCGTGGCTACCAGAGTTAAAATCTTATCCCAGGGCTTCGGGGATCTGGAAATCTATCATCACATCTTTCACCTATTCTCCAGAGGGATCAGATTCCAAGTCAGAGGGGGAAACAACATTTGATTCTGGTCGGATCTTTGGATAGGTCACCAGCCTCTTAAAGACCAGTGTCCAGAACTTTTCTCCTTGGTACGCCACCAAAATGCCCTTATAGAAGAAGAGCTCAATCTAGATGACAGCTCAAGGTCGTGGAATCCTCTTTTCAGAAGAGACCTTTCTAACCTTGAGATCGTTTCGTTCTTAGAATTAGCCTATACCTTGGCTTCTTATTTCTTTCAAGACCATGGTGAAGACAAAATCATCTGGGTACCTGCCGCCTCAGGGTTTTTTTTAGTCTCTTCTCTCTACTCTTTCATATCCCAACCACCTACTTTTCCGTTAAATCCCACCTCTTTAGTCAACCAAGCTTGGACCTCCATGGCGCCTCCAAGACTCAAACTTTGCATGTGGATTGCACTTCATTTAAAAGCGCTCACTGTTGACCATCTTCAGTGAAGAGGGTTCTCACTCCCACACAGATGTGCTCCGTGCCTCAACAAGGAAGAGAGAAACTCTCACTAATTTCTCTCATGCTCGTTTGCTTTCAAAGTCTGAGGGATGATCCTATCTCTCTTTGGCATGCAGTGGATCCTACCCAAAGAGGTACCCTCGCTACTCAGAGCTTTCGAACCATACCCCTGGCCCAAGGCTGCGATTTTCCTTTGGAAAACTATGGTCGCGGCAACTGTATGGGCCCTTTGGATAGAAAGAAACAACATAATCTTTTGGGGGGAACTAGAAACACCTTCTCTTGTGTTCTCTAAAATCAAGGCTCAGGTGGTTTTCTGGGCCACAAACCACAAACTTTTCCAATGAGTCCCAGTTCAGCCTTCCATCAAAATTGGAATACTTTTATGCATTATTCCAAGAGGAGGATTCCTAGAGCTTCACACTGGCAACCCCCACCCTAGGGCCACCTTAAGCTCAACTTTGATGGGTGCTCTTTAGACAACCCTGGACCATCATGAATAGGAGCTGTGCTAAGAAACCACAACGGTTCCACGGTAGCTTTAACCACCAAGTTCGTAGGCCACCTGGACTCAATAGAGACAGAAGCTACCGTGCTGTTAGAAGGCATTAGATTGATCCAACCCTTCTCAAACTCGCATTTTATCATAGAAGGCGACTCAAAAAAAGTCATTACTTGCGCTAAACATCCCTCCTCTATCCCTTGGGTCTTAAACCACATCTTTGATGAAATCCTACACCTATGGAGGGGACTAACCGTCGAATGGAGGCACACATGGAGGGAGGAAAACCATGTCACAGATGCCATGGCGAAAGCAGCGGCCCGTGGTGAAGATCTTTAGCACCTCGACAAGTGGAACCCCAGTTTTCCTAACAGCCTTTCTAGAGGCTCCTCTCTTAACCCGCATATTGTACCCGGGCTTTTAGCTTATACTAGCTTTTTCTAGCTATCCCAAGTGGATAGCTCTTCTCTTTCTCCCCTTTGTAACTCTGCAAACTATCCTTAGTGGATGGCTCTTTTCTCTCCACCCTGTAACTCTGCTATCCGCCTGTGGATAGCCCTCTCTCTCCTTTCCCTTTTGTGCACTTCTCTAATATAAATATATATATATAACAGTCAACATTATCAATAAAAAAAAAAATTTGGGTCAATCTGTAGAAACAATATAATTAATCTAAGTGCAAAATCTAATGAGATATTTTTAACTGATGGAACAAGTCGAAAGGCCTATCTTAAATTGCTTCTGACCTTTTCCTGCTGAGAAAGACCACATGTAACATCTCCTGCTCCATCTTGTTGTGGAATGTATCCACCTTGGAGAAAATGCGTATTGAAGTCATCCCTTTTCCTTTTGCTAGATGTTATGAAGAAATCCTGAACATTAATAATACCAATTTTTAGGGCCACTTATTACTAGTAATTTAAAACATACATATTGTCAAGGCTAGCAAAACCATGTGCATATTTAGTTGATTTAATATAAAAACTAACAACTTCCGAAAAGTGAGAGACCACAGGAAATTTTAATTTGCAGTAACATGTATCTGAATGCATATTAATAATTCAAGGTTTCTAGCATCATAGCGGTGACCATACAAGGCGCTGCTCAAGTCATTATATTAAATGCATCCACTCTCTTAATAACTTACTGGAATGGAAAAGCATCCTAGCTTCCAAAGTAACTACTCGCAGCTATATTTTAAAAATATAAATCACTTGTCACATTCTTTCTGCTTATTTTATCAAGTTATAATAATAACCCAGACACCATGTCTCTAATTACCTCACAAAGTGAATAGGGCTCCCCTCGAAATAACTTATCTAAAATAGAACTAATCTACCAACTGGAAGTTTCTGCATACTGTTAGAAATGCATGTGTAACAGTGATTTGGTTATTATCTTCATCGCTATTCTGAATGTTACTGTACAAAAAGCAGGCATTATGATCATTTTCCACATTACAAAGGGCATTTGAGTAAATCTGCCCCATATCTCTATTTGCCTATATGTACACAAGGAGCACATAAAACACTATGATATCAGGCTTAATTTCTGAAATGAAATGGACTAATACGACACTCGAGTCATCATCCCAAATTTCCCAAAAACCCTTGACGCAAGAAAACCCAAAGTTAGCTACTTCACCATCAATAGAGGAGCGGGGAAGAGCAAACGAGTCCTTCAGAAAGAAATCAATTTGTTAAATAGAGCATAGTAAAGTGACAAATGCAAAAGAAGACCATATACACGAGGTGGATCTAAAAGAATACCCAAGGTAGGTTTATTAGTGCCAGTGTTACAACATGATTGCTTTGGAAAGTTATGACTGTAGATTAGAAATCCTGGATTATATGCTTCTAAGGCTTTGATATTATTCACTGGATGAAGGATACAAGTTGAAGGCATCCTTCTCTATTTTGATGATGGCGAGCTGCCAACTGACAACGTTAGAAGCTTCAAGGTTCGGACTAAAGAGATCCGCCGTTGCATTTTCTATTCACCATCATGGCAAAATCCTTTTTGCATAATCCAGGAAAATATGGTCGGGATCACGGCAGATGGATTAGAGGAGTGGGTAGATCCCAAAGGCTGTTCTTTGGAGGGTAATGGCATATACTGGAGTAAAGTATGGAATTAGAGTTTGACTTGGGGATTGGAGTCTTTAGTATGGTATTTGGGGCGGTGGTAGCTCTCTTTAAGAGAGTTCCCTGCTTTTTCCAAGTTGCCTGGATTTCAACTCCTTGTTGAATATCTCTTTAATTAAAGGGGAAGGTTGGTTTGATGCACTAGGTTTAGGAGTGATTAAAATTGTGATCATCTGATTGAATTTCAGAAGTTATATTGTCTGATGGATAGTCTTAAGTTGGCGTAGTGCAGAGAGGTTCGCTTCAAGTACTCATGGGAGCACATATGTTTTTGGAGCCGTATTGAGTTTAAGTTGTCAGTTTTCATTCCCTTAATGAATAGGGGCTTTTTCCTCTCCAGCTCTTCTTCTTCCTCTCCCCTTTGCGATCTCATTTCTCATCCTCCCCTTCTTCTAATTCTCTCCTCCTATGCCGCTGTCTTTATCCTCCCCACCCTCTCTCCTCCCCTTCTTCCAATCATATTTTTCTTTTTGTTATTTTATTTTTTCCTTTCTTTTTCTCTCTTATTTATTTTTTTTATTTTAAATTCAGTATTTTTTGTAAAGGAGTACCCAATTTGTGGGCTACCTTAATATCCCATTCCTCGTGAGCATTTTTTGTACCTAACACTACTCAAGTAATTTACTGTCACCTTCATTTGAAAAAATTAGGGGCTTTCCTCTCCTGGAGTTAGAGCTTTCATGCGGAAGCACTGACTTGCAACTATTATCTCTGACACCAGAATTTCCCATTGAGATCAGCAACCATTAGCTCCATGAAACTTAATTTTGGAAATTTGCTTGAGGAAAAACTTGGGACCCAGCTGGTACAAGGGCATATTCCAAGACGAAAGGGATAGGTGCTCAAGACCCTCTTTGGCCACTTGAGATGTCATGATTTGACAAGGGAGAAGCTAAAAAATCCTATTTCTTGTTTGCGGATCAGTGTCCTATTCCCTAATAGGCTACTCATACTATTGTAAGAGTACTCACGGGATATGATTGAGTGGGCAAGGGAAGAGGCAAGCATACAATTGCAAGTAACCATGATTATGAAGTGAAGATGGCACTGAGGGAGAACGACCGGGGAACATGATCTTGTGCTTCTCTGAATCGATAGAGGTTTGCGACACCGCTGAAGTTCACGCTCGTGTGCAAAAAAGAATGCAAAGGAACTCCTAGGCAAAAAATGGAAACTCAGAATTTAGCATTAACGAACATACCCCATGATTAGTTACTCTTCCAAATTCATATACGCTTGTGACGGAACAACACTATTTCCTTAGCATCAAGCAATAAATCACTCTAACAAGCTTTCATGCAACCCCCTTCTTAGAAATTTATCCATTGTAATTAGGATCACTTAAATTTCATCTAATGAAATAAAATGCGTATATTATATATCAACGTATCAAAACTTATTGAGTCAGGCATGGATTTTCCTGAGTCACTCGGACCAAGAACCTTGCTGGCGTCTAAAGGGCCCAAATTGAGGGAACAGGGATCCTGCAGAAATCCAACTGGTTCCTGGTTGGACTAGAGCAAGACCTGAGAGCTTGGTCAAGTCAACCAGGACATGTCGAGTCCACCTTTTCTTGTAACTGTACCATTTTGTGGGAAAAGGAACAAAAAGTAGGCATTTTTCAGTGAACAGGATTTAAGTTCCAAAAAAATCCCTAGGGCAATTTTGACTCATTTAATTTAACATGATTAACAAAAAAACTTACTGATTGCAGGGATATGACCGAACTCAAAATTCACATTAGGAATAGAAAGAAGTGTTGGCAAATTTCGGATCTAGTGAATCCCGGGGCCCAAAATACATTGAGCGTTCAATTTTTTGGACTTTGAGGGTCATGTTACGACTAGTAACTGATTTACATTTTTTAAATTTCAGACACTTCAATTTTTAACGCTTTTTTTTTTTTCCTGCGAAATTCTAAATCGACATGGATCTAGGCTTCATTTCACATAGACCTAGTTTTTGTTTGATGATCAACAATGAGATCATCTATTTTTTATTTGGATATGTGCTTTATTTTCTTAAAATTTATAGAACTATCTGTGAAAATGGGTAAATGAGACAATTTTTTATTTTAGCATGGCAAATGTTCGTAAATATATATTTTCGCACTGTAATTGTGTTTTCTGATTTATTCTTAGTTAATCATGAATTATTCCTAAACTTCAGACGTCTTTCCTTACTTATTTTTTTCCTTGATTTTATTCCATCTTATAAGTTTTTTATTCACAAAATTGTTGCATGTATTTGTGCATCTGATCCTTAGGGGCACAAATCCCCACCCAAAGGTGTTCAATTTGGGAGCATACAATGATAATTTTAAGAAAGAATTCTTTGACCTTTGAAATGTTTTCTTTTGTGTTTGTGCATGGGATGCATTTATGGAAACCAATCCCCCAAAACAAATTCAAATTGTGGTGCAACAACCTTTTTTTTTTTTCTTTTCTTTTTGGGGGCTGAGGAAGAAGGGGGGGGGGGGGGGGGGGGTGATTGGAACAGGCAATTCTTGGGTAGAGAAAGTTTTCTGCTTTTGTTTTTTTAATAAACATGTGTTTGTGTGTTCAATGTATTTAGAGATGCTGATCCTCACACCTGTGTTCAGTTTTGATGAGAACAACAATTTTTTTGAGAAAAATTAAAAACAAGCAATTTGCGCATTTGCGTATTGGAATGCTTTTTTCTTATATATATATATATATATATATATAGAGAGAGAGAGAGAGAGAGAGAAGGAAAGGTAAAACGTAAAAGTACGTAGTACGGACGTAGTCGTACTACTACGTTCGTTCCACCCGACCGCCTACGTCGTACGTCGTACTCGTCGTCGTAGTCGTCGTAC